CACCCTTCTCCTTAATACCCAAACCTGAGTACCACGACCCCTCACACTGCTTTCACTCAGCGTGCCGCATCTGAAGGCATTCATCAATACTTCAAACTCTAAAAACATCCACGAACACCAGCGGCTTTTTGAATGCTTGTTCTGAAATGGTTTAAAATTCTACCAGAAAACGGAAACGTTTAGAGTTTCTTAAATTTACATACTCAAGTGACCATTATCTAAACATAAGGATCTTAGTCGATCAAAGCCAAATGCTTATGTCAACTGTTGAGTCTTTTTATCTCAGCTCATATTTTCTTGTCCTTTAATTTCAAAGGGTTTTATCGTGTTGTGTGAGTTTGTGGAAGTGGCTCTCTGAGGTCAGGCCAGGGTCTGATCTCGTGGAGCAGACAAAAGCACCAGGATGTTCCTGAACAAAAGGCCACTTCCTGTAAGATGTCTGGGTTCTCTGTCGCTATGCAAACAGTAGCTGGCTTAAAAAAAAATTTTTAAAAAAATTTATAGCATTTGAACCTTTATCATTACATCTGTATTTGGTTCTTAGTTCGCTATAATAACTATTTAAACGTTAGTTCCAGGTATAAGAAATGAAGAAAGAAATCGAGTACACTATGGTTCAAAAGTCTGAGGGCAGTAAGACATTATTTATTTTATTTTATTGATTGATTGAAAGAAATAAAGTAACAAAGGAGTAATGGCTGTTAAAAACTCAGATTTGTTATAAAATGAATAAATTAAATTTTAAGATATATTAAAATAGAAATTAGTTTTTTTTTATTGTAATAATATTTTGACAGTACTCCTGTTTTTACTATATTTTGTTCAAACAACTGCAACCTTGATGTTTTCTTTCAAAAACATTTGATAAATCTTATCGACCCCAAATGTTTAAACAGTAGTGTACATCAACCTTTCCTGATACATGTATTTTAAAAAGTTTTTTTCCCTCTTGTTGCAGTTTTTTAAGACTTTTATAGGTTAAAGCTGCTAACTTCGACTTCTCAACACACGTCCCCCTGGACCGAAGACAGGTGCGTTTAACACTGGTACATGTCAAACAGATAATTTCAAGTAGCTGATTGCAGATAGAAGAATTAGACCGGGAAGCCGGCCTAGTGTTTTGTTGCATGCTCTGGCCTAGATGGACAGGCCTATAGTTCTGTTAGAGAATATCATGCTCTTTGTCAATGATAAATTCCTATCAGCCAACCGCACTCAAACCCACATGCAGATATACGTATGTCCATAGTTCATCATCATCATAAAAATAAAATGGTTAGCCATGATTTGACTAATCCATGTGACTCGTGAAATAAAATGAAATATGAATATAATACAATTATCTAAAAATATTATACTTTATATTGTATTTTCAGAAAAAATGACTAAAATTTGAATAAAAATGAAATCTATATAGAATTATATAAAAATACAAAAATGATCAAATTACATAAAATTACTAATTCTTAAAATTAAAATGAGATCTGAAAATATAAATATGAAAGCTAATTTAACGAATATAAATAATACATAACCATGGTCATGAATAGAACTGTGTGAAGGTCCCTCAAAATTTCCAAGGGATAATCAGTTTGAAATGAAAGTTAAGGCAATGACTTTTCTTTTTTCATTTTAAGGTGAACTATTCATTAAAACTTAATGCTAAATTACTAAGTACGTGATATTACTTCTCACATAAGCAATGTATTTCTATAACATAAGCTGCACATCTGATTTTCACTACATGATCAACAGACTCGGTTCATGCAAAACTACAATATCAAATCTTATTTCTTTTTTTTTAATTTTCAGCTTTATTTAAACTTAATGCACAGTTACTAAGTAAGTGATATTACTTTAATAAAAAATAAACAATTTATTAAATAAACAAGAGGAAAAGATATTGAAAACAATGAGCTGCACATCTGATTTTTGTGAACAGACTCGGTTCATGCTGAACTACAATATATAAAATCCTCTTTTTTTAATATCTCAGTGACAATTTCAAGAAAAAAGATCCTGGTGTGAAGATGTATTTGATTCCCAGAGCGTGTCTGCGCATGATGTGTTACCATCAATACAGCCACCGCCATGTCTATCTGCATCAGCGCTTTCTGATTTCTTTATGCATTTCTCCTCTTTTTCTGACACCCGTCCTCTCGCTGTCTCCCTTTCCAGCCCTTCCTCTGTCACCATTTGTCTCTGTGTCTCAAAGTATGCCATTACTGTCTCCATCTGTCCATCAAGATAGCTTTATGGATAGCTTTCTTTTCTTTTAGACCGCTTTCTATCCGTTTTCACTCTCGGGAATAAGTCAGCAGCGATCGAGGCGAACGGCCGGTCTGCCCTCACGATATTCAGCGAACTGCTGACTTATGTTACACATTCGATGGTGTGACAATATGGTAATACAAATTAGCCGGCTTCTCAAATTTCTTGGCCAGATGATGCACATGCCACACCAGGGCCACCCAAATGCTTTTATAGCAAGACCTAACGCTACTGGTCAGACTGACCACCTTACGGCCATCTGTGTGTGTGTGTGTGTGTGTGTGTGTGTGTGTTGAGTTATCAGTATCCAACCGCCGGGCCCCTCCTCCCCGTTTCCCACAAGACCCCATGCTGTCACAACAGACATTTAGCAGCTTTCACGCTAAAGGGCCACGGGGGGCTTGCTTCCTTCCTTCTCCACTTCCTCCTTCTGTTTTCCGCTTCCCCACTGTCTGTTTCACTATATTTTGTGGGATGCCCTCTACAACGCCTTCTTTAACTTTATTTCACAGCTAATTATAGACAAAAACAAGACAGCACAAGAGGTGAATCTCACAATGGCTCTTAAGAGGGAAAAAACACACAGGAAAACAGAGTCTAAGGGGCAAGACGTAAAAATAGAAAATGCCAGGAAGCATTAAAGATGTTGTGCGGGATAATTATAGTTCAGGGCCATTTTATCTTTTTAGATGGATGCTAGGAAAACAGGAAGTAGGGCAGAGGTGCAGCTAAATGGGCTGCCCAATAGAGCGCGAGGCTAGCGATTCCCACAGCAGCGCTAGAAAAACACACAGGTTCCAAGAGGATCAGAGCATCCGAGGAAATTCAAACACACGGGGATGGAGTATGGGAATGACACGGAGGTGCTTTCTCAGGCCGCTTGTTTACTAGTGCGCAGTGGCACAGAAATGACATCAAAAGAGCTTTAGAAGTTCATGTGGATTCAAAATGTCATATTTACAGTACTTTAAAGGGATAGTTCACCCAAAAATGAAAATTCTGTCAATATTTACTCCTCTATTTACCCTCATGTCGTTCCAAACCCGCAAGATCTCCGTTCATCTTCGGAACACAAATTAAGATATTTTTGAAGGAATCTGAGAGCTCTCTGATCCTCCCATAGACAGCAAGGGTCCTTACATGATCAAGGTCCAGAAACGTAGCAAGAAGATGGGTAAAATAATCCATGTGACATCAGGGGTTCAACCGTAATTTTACGAAGCTACGAGAGTACTTTTTGAGCGCTAAAAAAAACCAAAACACTACTTTATTCAACAATTCGTCACAATTCATCACCCTAGCGCCATTTTGGAGAGTATCCACTGAACGTAAACTGCGTATGCTGTTTTGTGAAAGCTGCGTCATGCGGATACGCCGTTTACGTCGTTTATTTATGGTGCACAGATTTGAACGAAAACAACATATCCGCATGGCGTCAAATATATGTTTGACATTGTCAAACACTGACAAACAAACATAAATCTTCAAAAACAGAATGATGATGACGACAATGATGACAAATACAGAAAACAAAGCAAAGAGTGACAGTCAACAATATGCAATTTTGATTGAAGTGATTGATCTTAAAATGTAAAACCACAAGAAATGCATGAGGAACTTACCATGGCGCGCCATATATTTGAAAGCCCTTGACGGTGACGTCAGAGTCCTGCAGGTAAACACAGTTTGTCAGGAGAGACTGAACATTGTCAAAGTCCTCGGGTTTCAATTTGGACACGGATGGAAAGCGATAGTAATCCTGCTTGACCAGCTCCGCCATGAAATCCTTATCGAAGGTCAGCTCATGATTCCCCGCGATCACCACTTTAAACTCGTACGGCAGGCCACCTGCAACACCATAAAAACATACATGTTAAAACAGAACATTAACCTTACATTTTCTTATTCAACAAATAATGGCAACTAAAGCACTGGTTTGGCAGAACTGTGACAATATATAAGTTGACATTTTTACAATAGTAGTGCAACCTAACCAAATCTCATTGGTCCAAAATCCTATAGGCTACCCCATAACTGCATGCTAAACATCACATATCTTCGGGTTGGATATTGTTGCACACTAGTTTGCATTCACCACTGACAGACATATTTCTTGTCAATGGAACTCACGTCTCGTCACATCTGAATTCATCACAAAAAATGCTCTGTTGAAGTTCATGTGAGGTTATTGCGATCCTGAGGAGAAGTTAGATAATGAAAAACAGGACTCTGCAAGTAGAAACAGGCCATTACAACAAAACATCTTTCTTTACCTCTCTATTCAGGCTACTGTCTATTCTCAAACAACGATATGGCTGGATATTGACTACAAGAACCTAAAGCTAAAACATATCAGAAAGACTTTTAGTCAAGGATAAAGGTACTGTCTGTGTCTTCCAAGCCACTATGGCCTTTCTTTTTCCTTCTACAGAAAGTACGGCAAAACTCAAAGGCCACCAAACATTTATTAAAGTCACGGCCGCCTCGTTTTTGCTTTTCTCTTCCTCACTTCAGCCTCCATCGTCACAGCAAAGCTCTTTTGTGCTGGTACATCAGGAAAATGCAACAGGGGAAGTTGTTCTTCACAGAACTCAAACAAAAAGAGCGACCATCTCTCTCTATATGCCAATCCTTAGACAGGAAAACACACAGACCGTCTCTCAGTGGATTGCATAACACACATGGAAGGCTTCAAATGCGGAGTGTGTTTGAGAACAAAACAAATCACAATATTTCACCTACCAAAGCAGATGAAACAAGGTGCTTTTCAAAGCAAAATGGGACTAAAAATGAAAAAGCAAAGACATAATAAAAGTCAAAATCCGGTGTGATCAGAAGCTCTATTATAAAACATGTCTGAAGGTGCTCTTCGCAGCCCATTATTTGTTCTCTTTTATGAAAGAGAACAGTGTGAAATAGCCACTTTAATAAAGGCTTTTCACAATTTGAATTGGAAGTGTGTCTTTTTTGGAAAACAATAAAAACCAATTAAATCTTGAACTGTAAAGGCATCAGAAAGGAGCAAAACGCTTGACCGAAAGTATAAAGAAAATAAAAAGATAACCCGATTTAAAAGTAAACACTTTCCCAGCAGTTTAATTTACTTTCTTGCTCCTTCCATGCGCTCGGCACTATATAGACTGGGATATATCATAAATCCCAGTCTAATCTGATAACAGGAGCCCATCTCTCAGCTCCGCGGTCCGCAGTCTGCCAAACGCCATCACGGATCCATTTACATGGAGCTTTCCCGTCACACAAAACCGAATCACAAACCCCCGGCGGACGAGCTTCGTGGCAGCCTCTCCATGGCGGAAAAAGCCCTAGAATGCAATTACCTCCCCACCGACTGCATCTTCTGCATCCCCGCAGGGATTTTTACAACATTTTATTGCCATCAAAATGTATTTTTCGAAGAAGACTGCGGATATAAACTGTTTATTACTTTGAAGAAGCTACAGAGGAACATATGGGAAGGTATGTGGCGTACGGGAAAGCGCTTTTAGGTTTAGCCTCAGTGTTTGAATCGGATTTACATCGGAGGACCGGCGCGGAGCACAGTTTGGCAATCGCAGCGCGTAATGAATGTAAATCTAATTAGTGAAAATAAACTACACACCGTAAACATCTGAAACTGAAGGATGACTGGTAGGGAACATGTGTATTTTGTTGAAAACAGAGCGGTGCAATCACATTCGTCAAGTTTTTCGAACCGCTGCGCAAGAAAAACATGTGGGATTTGAGAAATAGAATTAAAAACAAAGAGCACATGGCACCAGAAAGCCCAACAGCACAAATCACCAAATGTTCAATCATAAATTAAAGCAATAGTTCGCCCAAAACTCATCATTTACTCTTCATTATGTTTTTCCAAACTAGCATGACATCTTTTCTTCGTTCATGTTAACACAAAAGATTTGTTTTTTAAAGAATATCCTGGTCACTCTTTTCGTATAATGAAAGGAAATGAGAACTGGGGGTGTCAAGCTCCAAAAAAAGGCCAAAAAGCATCACAAAAGCATCATAAAAATGGTCCACATGACAAACTTCTTTGTGAATGAAACTTTCTTTTGAGTCAGATATTTTCAATGAATCAGTTTATTTGGTTCACAATACCTGTTTGAAAGATTTTTTCATGAATCTGGCCAATCCACAAAACAATGTATGACGAGTAAAAAATTTAGAAGAGATATTTTGATTTTAATTTAGTGTCTGATTAAGCCACAATGTTATGCTATTTTGCAACTTACTGCTTTTGCAAAATAGCAGCAACAAAGGCATATAATTATAGATTGTAGATTGATTGCATCAATACAGGTCGTGTAAACACATTTTTAAAAATTATAAATAAATTATACTTACATTAAACAATTCGTCATTCGTCAAGTCTCACTGAAACAGATTTCAGAGTCTGAATTGATCTTTTCTATCTTTGTCTTTTACAAAATGTAATGATGTTCTTGAGAGAAATACCAGTGGGTGATTCACGAGTCAGATGTTTCCAATGAATCACTTGAGTTGTTGACAATGCCTGTTTGAATGATTCGTTCATGAATCTGACTGATTTGATCCTCGAGTTCTCAATGTTCAGGTTTCCGCAGTTATAAGGTCACTGGAGAGGAAGATTTTTAGCAAATAAGAACTCAATGAATCATATGGACTAATTTTTATGTTTCTTTTGTGTCCTTTGAGAAGCCTATTGTAAAGAGCAGGATATTCTTCAAAAATAAACCTTTCCCGTTTAATACAAGAACAAAAGTCATACAGGTTTGCAATGACATGAGAGTGAGTGAATAATAACAGGATTCTCATTTAAAGGCAAACTATCCCTATATATCAGCATTGACTGTTTAAAAAAACATGCAAACACTTTATTTTTCCACCCTCACAACATTGCAAAACAAAGGAACAAAGCTGATCTATTGGACATCGGATCTATCGGCTGTCCTGCATTGATCAAAGAAATACTCAGACAAGTGAAGACAGTGAACTCAGACAAACGAAGTCAAGACCTAGAAAAGCTCCTTATTTACGGTGCACCGATCCATGTTTGCATCCGTGAATCCCGCACGGAGAAGTACATGTCAGATCTCATGGGAAAGATATCGAGCAGAACTGAACTTCAGCAAAGAAACCTCATTACCACAGAACGATTCGTGAGAATCGATCCCACTTATCAACAAAAACCATGATCAATGACAACGATTAGCGGCTGGGCTTTCTGTGCCAGAAAAACAAACAAAAGTGAGCTGCGCTTCACGAAAATGCATAGTGAATGAGGCAAATGCAAAAGAGAGCGAGAGAGAGAAATTACAAAACCGGCACTAATTAAAAGGTCTAAAATAAACAACACCAATTTACCCTTGCAAGTTTTAAGGGGTCATATGATGCTGCTAAAAATAACATTATTTTGTGTATTTGGTGTAATGAAATGTGTTTATGCGGTTTAAGGTTCAAAAAACACATTATTTTCCACATACTATACATTATTGTTTCTCCTCTATGCCCCGCCTTTTAGCGGCGGCCGGCTAGAGTGAGCGGCGGCCGGCTAGAGTGAGCGGAGGTCGGCTTGAGTGAGCGGCGGCCGGTGGGCTTAAGAACGACGTGGCGGGCGGGCTTGCGGCAACCACATGTGACGACCCCGGGCTGGACTCCGCTTCGTCCACGGTGAAAGCCGATCCAGCGATCCAGAGGCCTTTTATGTTTTTTTTTCTTCTTCTGTATCATTTAGCCCCTAATGCTAAAGAACAAAGGAGTGACCTTGAAAAAAAACGCAGGCATTTATGTTACGGAACTCTCCAGAAAATATAACCGGAATGCTTTGGCTCAGACAATGAAAACACAAAGATCCTTTTTCCTGAAGATCCACTTCAGGCTCATCTGAACAACTTTCTTATAGAGTTCGTCAAAAGGCTTATATAAACTACTCCATCATCACGTCATGTTCAAGGGAACGATTTGTTTTAAACTTACTAAACTCTCCTCTCCAAAAATGTTTTTTTGACAGAAGACAGCTTTCAGCAATCATGAGATTATCTATCAGCGCCCATCTGTGTGTTTACAACAAAAAGCGATGATGTGAAAAATTATATCATCGTCAGGTTTCCTTTGGGACGTGAATAATAAGAAAGTCGGGAGCGTTCTCCGACCACCAGGCACTTCAAAAGCTGCCGGGTGTCACATGCCAGATATAAAAAAAAGTGGCATCAAGTACGTTGATAGATGGAGGGATGGAAAGATTGCTGACAGCTCCCTCCGTTTCTTCGCTTCTGATGCACTATTTCAACCGGGTATGTCACGGGAGTATACATGGGTGGAATGACAGCGCGAAGGACAAACTAAGAGCCTGTGACATAAAAAAATCAGGCTCCTGCAAATACAAATGTCACAGAAACTACTTTGAAATTGCAACTTGCCAAGATTTAAGTCACTTGTTATTTAAATGACCAACCAATAGTAAAATATAGTCATCTATTCTACAAGCTTCAGACACAAGTATACTGAAGGTATTTATAAGGACCACACATTGTTTAACTACTTTAACTACAAGAGTTTAACTACTGTCATGCTACTAAAGAAATAAAAAAAACTAATTTTGGTGCAGTACTTTTTAGGGCTGGGTAAAAAAATATAGATATCTCGAATTTAACCGATTCTCATTTTTACGGAACGATATTGATTGTTAAATCCCAAGAATCGATTAGTCTAGCCTGTTTTTTTTTTGTTTTGTTTTTTCAGTTAATGGACAGAAAATTAAAGGGTACTTCCCATCCAATAAATTGCAATAAGCATTGTGCTTTGGTACTTTTAATATGAAACAAAGTCTCAGATTTCAAATTCTGTTCATT